TGTTGGCCAAGACTAAAGTCCTTAGAAGCCTTGACTGGGATGAGAAGATTCACTCCCCAAAGCTCCTCACTCACCTTGACTCATAAGTTGGTGCTGGTTGTTGGATAGGTGTTGGATTTACCGTCTGTAATTTTCCACAGGACTGCTTTGCTAGTCTCATGATCTTGATAGACAGTTTCTTTAGAAGGAGTCAAGAGAAAACAGGCAAGCAGTGGCAATGTTTCCTGAGCATGTAGCCTTGAAATTCTTTGTCATTCCTGATGCTTTATATGGATACTCAGACACACCCTGATGTGCCAGAGTCGTAGACTTATGGACTGGGAGATGACACTCACTCTGGAGCCATCTGCCGGCTGGCTACCATGTTAAATAGCACTGGTCATTTTTCTTACAAGTCCTTTAACTGTGGAGTGACCCAAATGCATATGTATCCAGCTAGGGCAAAATGTTTAGTGACATTCTCAAAAACTGAGTTTTGGAGTCAATATGTAGAGACTGATGTCAAGTGGCTTTTCTGTCTCCTCTGCTAGGAGGACCTTTAGAGGAAGTGATAACAAGTAAGGCCATCGGAAGGCCCATCAGGAGGCTTACTGGGAACAGTGAGACCTGTACTTTTCAGGTAAAACTTTCGTAACTCAAAGATCCCGTAGCCCAGCTTTCTCCCGAGGTTTCTACAGAAATTTCAGTGATTCCACAAAAGGCTTCCCCCAAGCTCACAATCCAGACCATTAGAACAGTCATCTCACAGCACTGTCCTGAAGTCCCTCATCTGGACCAATGTCACCTAGCTGGGTCCATACCCTCTGCTCTTTCCATGCTGTGTCCATCACCAGAACTCCACAATCTTCACCAGAAGCTTCATATTATCTAGGAGCCAGATAGGCTGGGCCAGTGCAGCTGTCTTGCAGGTAGACCAGTGGTCCCTTCTGGAGCCCCATGCTCATCATTGCTAGTGTCCTGAGCAACACCACCGGTTCTTAGCCCATCGGAGACTCTTTACAAACACCCCCTTTCCAGTTTTCAATGGCTGTCCACACATGATCCCCACGCAGAAGCAGGATGTTGGAGGCCTTGTTCAGTATAAAGCCATATCCCAGAAAAAAAAAACATCTCCAAAGGAAGTACAGAGCAATTCCTTGAGATGTGGACTTTTTTCCTTCGGTCTTCTAGGGGAGAGTGTATAAAATGATGTTAAATGCTATCTTGGTTACTCTTAGATCACATGACCAAAGCAACTTATGGAAGAAAGCATCTAATTGGGCATATGGTTTCAGAGAGTTAGAACTGACTTCAGAGAGAAGGCACAGGAAGGAAGAACCCAGACCTTGCATCTTAATCCCTAAGCAGAAGTCAGAGAGAACCCACTGGGAATGGCCCTCCTCCACCATTACACTTTCTCCAACAAGGCCGCATCTCCTAATGCTCCCCAAGCAGTTTTGTCAACTGGGACCAATTATTCAAATATGCAAATCTATGGGGGTGCATTCTCATTCTCACTATCACAAATGCCAGAACAAAAACCACTCTCCCCATCACCAAAACAGTCACCTACCACTGCCTCCACTAAAAATTCAAACCAGATACAAAAACCAAAGGTCTTCAAAACTGGACACAGCAGTGCACACTCGTAGTTACAGCACCCAGGAAGCTCAGGAGGGCGATCTGAAGTTCTAGGCCAGCTTGAGCTATGTAGTAAGAACCTCTTTTTATCTATCTATCTATCTATCTATCTATCTATCTATCTATCTATCATTGATTTTTTTGACACAGGGTTTCTCTGTGTAGCTCTGGCTGTCCTGGAACTCACTCTGTAGACCAACCTGGCCTAGAACTCACAGAGATCCACCTGTTTCTGCCTCCTGAGTCCTGTGATTAAAGAGGTGTACCACCAATACCTAGTACAAGACCCTATTGCTTTAAAAATATGAAGTTGGTTTTGAATATTTGGTAGACTTCTGTAGTGCAAACCACCTTGTTATCTCCATCCCCCCTTTTTCTTTCCCCCATCCCTGTTTTTGCTTTCCCCTCCCTTTCTTCCTTCCAATAAGAGACCTTACTTTTATTGGAAATAATTTTTTTTGGTTTTATGAGACAGGGTTTCTCTGTATTGTTTTGGAGGCTGTCGGTCCAGCCCGGCCTCGAACTCACAGAGATCTGCCTGCCTCTGCCTCCTGAGTGCTGGGATTAAAGGCGTGCGCCACCACCGCCCGGCAGGAAATAATTTTTTATAATATATTCTGATCATGGTTTCTCCTCTCAGATCCTCTGCACCTCCCCTACCCTTCCAACTCCATCCCTTTCTCTCCCTCTTTAGAAAACAGATAAGTAAATACAAAGAAAACCATGAGAAACACACACACTTGTACATAGAAAATACATAAAAATGCAAAATTGGAATCACAATATACAAGCAAAACACCAGTAAGGTTAAAAAAACAAAGTCCCAACATAGCATTATGAGGCAGAAAAAAAAAAGAAAAAGAAACCTTCAAAAATACCGTTGAATTTATTTTGGTCAGCTATCTGCTAAGGATATGAGACCTTGGTCTTAAGTGTAGTGTAGTGAGACTCCACTAGGGAAAATGTTTTTCCTTTGTGAATGGTTGACAATTGGAGATCGTTTCTTGGCTAAGAATGGAGCACATGTTGACGTCCCCCTCTTAGTGATGGGTCACCACCTGGCTTGGTGCCATGGTCTTTGTGAGTTCATATGTTCCTCAGTCTTGTTGTGTCTGGAAAGTACCGTTTCCTTGGTGTCCTTCATCCCCTCTGACTCTTACAATCTTTCTGCCTCCTCTTTCACAGGGTTCCTTGAGCCCTGAGGAGAGGAGTTTTCTGAAGACATTGTCTTTAGGACTAAAGGTCTGTCACTCTGCATTGTTCGGTTGTGGGTCTCTGTATTAGTTTCCATTTCCTACAGAAGGATACTTCTCTGATGATGGCTAAGCAAGACACCGATCTGTGGGTGTAGCAGAATCCAATAGACCTTATTTTTATTTTTACTTTTAGCATGGTTTTAGGTCCATAGGAAGACTAAGCAAAAGATATAGGAACTCCTCATGTATCCCCCACCTTTACACAGAGACACCTTCTCCCATCGTCAACTTCCCTCATAAAAATGTGCACTAACCTGATCAACCTCCAGCAAGAGATCATCACTTGATGTCTATGGTTCACATAGCTTTACATTGGTGATGTAAATTCTATGAATGTGTGCCATATTCCCACTATTATTGTATTATAAAGAGAAATTCTGTTGCCTTAAAAGGCCTCCAGGACCTGCTTATTCATTTTTCCATCTCCACAAAGTCCTAACAGCCAGTGTTTATTATTTTTCACTTTTTATAGTTTTGTTTTCTTCAAGGATCAAATCATTGTAGTCATGAAATATGTAACCTTTTGATTGGCCTACTTTATTTAATCATATTCATTTGTGTTTGTTTCATGTCTTTCCACCTCTTGATAGCTCATTTCTCTTTGGTGATGAGTACTAGTTTTCCTGGATGTAGCATAGTTTATCCATTCATTAACCAAAGGTCACAGATGTTGCTTCCAAATGTTGGCAGTAACTAGCATCTCTCCATGACTTATATTTCAGTTCCTGCCTCCAAGTTCCTGTCTTGACTTCCCTTCATCGAGGATTATAAGCTATAAGGTAAAAGAAACTCTCCTTTCCCTTCCAACTTGCTTTTGGTCAGGTCATGATGGTTTTTTTTTTTTTTTTTACCACATCAGTAGAAACCGTTGAGTCATCTCTTCAGCAATTATATTTTTAGAATCTTTATGAATATTTATTTTAAAAGTAGATTTCTTAGAGCTAACATGTAAGTGGTTATTTTCAAACTAGCTTGATAACCTCCATTTTAGCACCAAGGCTCTTGGGTCATTGATATTCAGTGACTTTTTTTTCAGGGTGTCTGTGTGTGGCTGTGTGGGTGTGTACATGTGAGCGCCAGTGCTCTTGGAGGTAAGAGGTGTTGGAATCCTCTGGAGCTGGAGTCACGGGATGGTAGTACTAGGAGACTAATCCAGGCCCTCAAACTCAGGTCACTTACTCTTAACCATGGGCCTGTCTCTCCAGCCCCTCAAAGTGATAACTGACCTACAGTTGAGTTTATGTGTTGACATTGCTCTTTGTTCTTATTTTTCTTGAACTTTTTCTACTTTCTTGTGGCTTTAATGTTTTATGTGATTCTCTTTCCTTAGAAATAACTTTTTTTTACCCTTTTTTAGTAGTTGCTTTAGACTTTGCAATGTCCCTTAACAACTAGTCCAAGTTTACATTATACTGTTGTTATACTGCTCTATGGGAAGTATAGGTAGGTTAGAGTTAAAGTAAACATTTAAATTCTACCATCCTACCCTTATATTCTTGCATTTATAATTTCTTCTGTATTGAGGCTATATAAGTAGATCCTTGCACACATCGATATACAATCAAAGCACCATTACTATTATGAACATACTCCTATCCGTTAGATAAATTGAAATTAATTATTTGTGGCACATGCATTTAATCCCAGCCCTCGGGAGGCAGAGGAAGGTGACCTCTGTTGAGATTTTAATGGACTAAGAGTTGGTCTAACTTGGGTGAATGTGCCATGAATACTTGAGGAAATGTTTCATTTGCTGCTGTTGAACAAAATATTATTGATTGTGTGCATATGCTGTCTTTCATGATTTTCTCTCTACTAATTTTATCAGCTGCTAAAACAACTTGAAAGAGTTCTTTAGTTTTGAAAGTTTGTTGTTTTTCTTTTGGGTCCTAACTTGAGTAGCCCATGCTGGTCTCAAGCTCACACTGACCTTGAAGTCCTGTTCTGTCTCCACTTCCCAAACATTGTAATTACAGTGAGCACCTCTGTGCCTAGGGAAAGAGGCGGTTTTTTGTTTTTTTGTTTTGTTTTTTTGACGAACTGCCATCCCAGTAAGATTTCGCTCGCTGTATTCCAGAACAAGTGTGTCTCCTCTTCTAGGAATCCTCGTGGTTGCCATGGCAACCACGGCATCCACAAAGGCAGCCATGAACCAGTCAGTGGTCACTCCTCTTCTGCTGACAACTGAAATTATATTCTGGACTCCTAATCTTGAAACCAACTAACATAGGCTGCTAGTTTTCCCCACACTGCCAAATGTCTTGTGAAATAATCAGCTCTCAGAGGTAAGGCCGTCTGTCAACACCTTATGTGCTGCATAACCAGGACTGATAAGAAATGATCTCAAGTATTAAAAATTCAAGCTGTCCTCTCCTGAGCTTTAAGCAAGTGCTAGTGGTCATTTGACTTTTGCTAGGTTCTCTGCACTTGGAGCTTTCATACGTCACCACGTAAAACTGTTGGTCGCATACTTTTGTGGTTATTTTACATAGTGGTGCTAAGTACACACTGCCTAATGACTTGCATCTATTCATTAAGGCTTCTGGGCCAGAGCCCTGGGGAATGTCTAGTTGGCAGTCCATTTGTTATTGCACACATCACAGTAGCTGCTACGATTTTGTCTCCTAATATCTTTCAGATTCATCTCTTCTTTTTTATTGTATTTGCTGTCACTGGCTTGTTTCAAGATTACAACAGTTTTATTGTTGGATGATTTTTCACTTTAAAATCAGCATTATTTTGGCTTGTTGGTGTGTGACGTATGATGTGTACCATTGGTTTGAAATGACCACAAAATCCATATACGTGCATATTGCTGATGGTAGAAAATTCTGTTTCCTGTCATCTTTGAATCTATTGATATCTTTATACTTCCAATAATCCTTCAAAGTCACATAGTATGCCCAACAGACTAAAAACAAGCAGGCTCTTGCCATCTGCATTGTGTATCTCGGCAAAAAGGACTGCCAAGTGACATGAAATTTCATTTTGCCACAACATCATCTGGCAATACACAAGGCATCAGCCTCCATTTCTAGGTTAATATGTTTTTATTCAATAAGTCTGTAATCATCGTGATGCTAACTACATTGTATGGTAGTCAGTGATCTTCTGGATGTCTGTATTAGAATTAAGTTACAGAATGAATGATAATAATTCAAAATAATACTGACATAAATGAGTTAAATTTTATTTCTCTTATGTCAACACAGGGCAGCCATGGCTGCAAGGGTGTTTCGGTCATAAGAGACCTGTGTCCTCTCTAGCTTGGTGCTCTGCCGTCTTTACTGCACAGGGATGGAGGGACCTGGGGATTGAACTCAGGCCGTCAGGCTTGGCAGCAAGTGCCTTTACCTGCTGAGTTATGTCTTAAGCAAACCACAGGTTTCACTTTCAGGGAAACACTCTAAAGCATTGAGGGCAGGGCCTTAATAGATATTTGTATGCTATATTCATAGCAGCACTGTTTACAGTGGCTAAAAAATGAAGGAAATATATACGCACCCATTAATGAATGAATACATAGATGGTGTTGGTTGCATACAAGGGATTTTAATCTTGAAAGGAAGGAAATTCTGGCATTCTCAACATAGATGTTGGAAGATATCCCACCTATGGGGGTGGGTGTTTGGGGTGGGATGGGGGGAGACCTGGAGGAGTCAGATGCACAGGGACTAGAAGCGGAGTGGCTTTGTGAGGACCCAGAAGAGGAGAGAACGGGAGTTATTGTTTAATGGTATGGGTTCAGTGAGCACAAGGTTCTAGAGAGGGATGGTGGTGACCATCGTGTAGTTAGTGGCCACTGAACCACATAATGAAAACTTGCTTCTATTCAATAGTTTTTTTTTACAAAAAAGCTTAAATATTCCCAAAGTAGGCATTTTTTACACATATGCATTTATATAATTATACCTGAAAACAATTGTATTTCACGGGATTCCCCCTCCCGGTATTGATCTTATTTTGAAAATCTATTGTTTAAATGCTTTAGAACACATGCTGATGCAGAGGGAATATATGCAACCCCCTTCACCTGAAGTGCATGCCTCAATCTAGAATGGGATTTTTCCGTAGTAAGACCATCGCCTGGACAATGGAATGTCATTTGCATTCACTCTATTTAGTGATTTGAAAGGTCAACGGTACACTTTTTCTGTAGACTGACCTAAGGTGGCAAACTTCGAGAGCTTGATATATTAAAATCACAAAAGCACATAGTGTGGTCCAAACCTGCCCTTGACAAACTTCTCTTCCAGATGGGAAATCTGATCTTTTGAGCAATGCACTGGTAAGTGGTTTAGCTGTTGGGTCGTTCTTTTAAAAATCAATTAATGGACTTATTTTTAGGTGTTTAAGATATCGTTAGGTAGCTTTGTTGTTATGCAAACCTAATATACCATGCTTATACAAACTAGATGTTATGTCTTCTTTCTCCTAGGCAGCAGACCTGTACAGGACACTACTGTATTGAACCCTGCAGACATTTGTAACAGGAAGGTAAGTACTTGTGCATCTAAACATAGAAAAGTATAGTAAGTAAAAAGAAGAATAAAAATGGACAGCTGCATTGTGATCTCTGGGCTCTGCCTTCACAAATGGGGCCAGCTTTGTAGGACATGACTTTATTTTAGGGCTTTGTGGGCCACATTAGGGTTATTGAATATTTTTCCTGTGTTTTTTTTTTGTTTGTTTGTTTTTCCTTAAGCATCTATGTACAAATGTAGAAGCCTCACTTAGTACTGTGTGCTGTATAAAAATAAAAAAGAGCTGTGATAGTCTTTGTGGTCAGAGTTGGTCCAGAAGTTGTCGTTTGCTGGCCCTCTTAAACCTCACTGCCTTTCCATCAGTCATTGAGCTGTGAGTTTGTTGGGCTGGATCCTAGACAGATGTGGACATCTGATAAGATCACTTATGTTTAAGGTACCCATCACTCTGTCTAGACTAGATGAGCAGAGCCTGTTCAGGTGAGTTTTCAGAAAGTCTGACAAGTTAGATTCAGAAGCGAATGGACCCAGGAGAAACAGAATGGGTCCCAGCCAAGACACAGGGAAAGGCTTCCTCCCTTACAGTGACTTTAAGTTTCAACCCCAGAAGAGACACAAGAAAAAAAAATCAAATTCCTGTTGTCTGCTACAAACAAACTCTTTGGAAGACAACCTGGCAACACCTAGAAAAGCTGACTGCAAGCCACCAATGTCTCAAGAATCCTGCTGTCAAGGCATTTCCCCAGAGGCGATCTTGTGTGAGAGTATTCACACCCTATGGCCTACCCTCCCTGACAGATCGGCTGTCCTGCTCAAACCCAGTCCTTGCCCAGACCTCAGGCAAGGGATTAGTTCTCAGTGCCTCATTTTCATCCTTCAGGGCCTGGTGATAATTATGTAATCCTCACAGGGTTTTGTGAGATTAAATAAACTCTATACATAGGGTGTGATCATGTACCAAATACTGTGTGTTTCTTCTACCTTGGCAACTCTATTGTGGCTGCTCTATTAGTAAGACACAGAAGAGCTTTAGACCTCTATCAAGAGAGGGCATACAATGAATTGAGATATGGTCACAGTATGGAGTTCCAGCTAGGACAGGAGTGTCAGCAAGCAATTCAGAGCTACATTTATCAGCAGTAGGAGTTTTAGAAACACTTTAAAGAGAGAAACACGTGATGGGAGCCTATCCTTGTGATACAAACAAAATGAAACTGCTGTCTTAGAGATACAGAGACACAGAAGGACGAAGAAAAGCAAATGAATGGGCTGGGGGTGGGGTGTTCTCGGGATGGCAGGTAGGGATATGGATTTAGGAAAAAGTTTCAGAACCTTGGTAAAGATTTTATACTCAATAAAATGACCAAGCATGGCGGCACTGGTCTATGTAGCAAATTTCAGGCCAGCCAGGACCAAAATTTTGTTTAAAAAAAAAAAAACCAAAGCAAAAAAGTCTAAACTCAATAAATTGGGTGGAAGTTCATGGAAGCATGGACACCGGAGATGACTCGGCAGTTAAGAGCACTGGCTGCTCTTCCAGAGGACCTGGGTTAGAGTTCCAGCACCCACATGGAGGCTCCAACTACCTGTAACTCCAGTTCCAGGGGACCCAGTGGCTTCTTCTGGCCTCCTCAGGCATCAGGCACCAGGCAAAACATCCACACATGTTAAACACAATGAAAAGCGAGAGTGAATCGAACACTGAGGTGATCGGAGTTTGATTTACTTTCCCCAAGTTTCAGTGAGGCTTGCGCATGGAGCTTAAGAGTGGATAAATCTGTGCACTGCTTCACTTCCAAAAATCACTGCAAACTTAGCCAGCTTCTTAGGCAACAGCAGATACACTGCCTTCTGGATATCTTCTGGGGTGAGGGTACAGCGCTTTTTGAGGTACATCAGTTGGCAGGCTTCCGTGGCAATGCGTTCAAAGATATCATTGATGAGGATGTTCATAATGTCCACAGTGTTGGATGATAGGCCTCTCTTGGGGACAACTTCCTTCAGGACCCTGTTTATGTAGAGAGAGTAATTTCTTTGGCCAAAATCGATGCTGGAATAGCGTGACTGCTTTCTTGAGGCTTGTCTTGCAGGTCTTTTGACGTATTGGTACTTTTTGATGATGGACCTGGCCATTGTAGATGTTGTTCTCCTTGTCAGTTAGGAATGGAGAGGAGAAGGGCCACAGAAGGGGAGCGGTTTTCCTATTTATAGTGACGTGTCACAGTCGCATTGCCAGGCTTCTCTCTGATTGGCACTTGCTTTCCCCGTGTCACAAACACTTAGCAACAGAGCTGATGTGTTGCTGAGGACAAATGGGCTCCTCTCAGGCTTCCCTGAGAGGGGAGGGTGTCAAATGGATTGACAGCAACTTTAAGCAGAAAGAAGGTATGCTCAAGTTTTCTTCTTTTCATTCTTCATAGCAATTTGCATGTGTCTTATACAATTTAATCAGACAAAAGCTCATCAAAGTGGGCGGTTGATATAACAATAGAGGCCAAAAATATTGTTAGCTTTTTTTGTGGATGTCATTTCCTATAGAAACATGTATAAATTCACTTACAATCAAATAAATAGTCAAGCCATCGCAAATATAAAGCGATAGCTTTGTAATACAAATAACTGTTACTAATCCGGTTTTAAGAATTGGGATCTAGCCCTTAATTGGTTATGTAGTATCAAGTGGTCAACCCTGATATCATATACATATATGAAACACTAAGTGGAACCAACAGATTCAATATGAACATTTATGCATATGCATGTAACAATAGTAAGAGGCCCTGAATTTGAGGGGGAGTGAGGGTATCATGGGAGGGGGTTGGAGAGAGGAAAGGGAACAGGGGGAATGTAATTATCTTTAAATTAAAATACAAAAGAAAAAAATGAAACCCTTCTCCTTACTATAGATGGACATAAAAAAAAAACCTCAGTGGGTAAATGTGCTGGCCACCAAGCCTAACAACCTAAGTTTGATCCCAAGTCCCAGAGTAGAAGGAGAGATCCAACTTCTGCAAGTGGTGCTCTGATTTCCACACAGACTCTCTCTCTCTCTCTCCCTCTCCCTCTCTCTCTCTCTCTCTCTCTCTCTCTCTCTCTCTCTCTCTCTCTCTCTCCTCTGTCTGTCTCTGTCTATGCCTGTGTCTCCTCTCTCTCTCTCTCTCTCTCTCTCTCTCTCTCTCTCTCCTCTCTCTCTCTCTCTCTCTCTCTCTCTCTCTCTCTCTCTCTCTCTCTCTCTCTCCTCTGTCTGTCTCTGTCTATGCCTGTGTCTCCTCTCTCTCTCTCTCTCTCTCTCTCTCTCTCTGTGTCTCTGTACACACACACACACACACACACACACACACACACACACAGAGAGAGAAATAAACAGTAACAACAAAAAACTATTTGTGACTTTTATTTGGAAAATGAAACCTAATTCTTGACTAGCAGTTAAGCAACAAAATCCTTTTCCAAGAGCAGCGCTCCCCCATCACACTTCACATCTCTGACCCCAAATATGGATATCTTGACTGCATAATTTTTGGTGGTGAGGGACTTCGTTCTCCTTCTCCCTTTAAAAAAAAAGCCCAGTTAATTTTAATGACATTGGTTCCTTAAAAGCAAGTGCGTAGGCCGGGAGGTGGTGGTGCATGCCTTTAATCCCAGCACTTGGGAGGCAGAGGCAGGCGGATCTCTGTGAGTTCGAGGCCGGGCTGGACCGACAGCCTCCAAAACAATACAGAGAAACCCTGTCTGGAAAAACAAACAAACAAACAAAAAGCAAGTGTGTAAAACTGGAAAATTCAGAACTACCGCCTTTTGTTGTTTAGATTATGATACCAACTGTGTTCATTAACCTTTTATAATGATAGCATTATTCTTGCAGATTTCATAGTTTTAATTACATGGTCTGCTGTTACTTGATACTGTAGTTCTGTCATTAGAAGACATTTGTGGACACATTCTTGCCATGTGTCATGTTGGTATTCATTTAAGAAATCTCATATACTTTATTTTGGTGTTTTTGCCTTCATATATGTCTGTATGAGAGTGTCAGATTCCCTAGAACTGGAGTCACAGACAGTTGCGAGCTGCCATGTGAGTGCTGGGAATCGAACCCTACTCCTCCGAAAGAGCAGCCAGTGCTTTTAACCACTGAGCCATCTCTCCAGCTCCTTTGCACCCTTTGTATACTTTCTTAATCAAATCTACCCCTGAGTAAAATAAAAAGGGAACAGAAGTGACAATAACTGCAAGCATTTCAATTATTCATGGTGGTCACTACTATTCATAGTCCCATTAAATGTTCTTCAAAATGAGTTTCCGCACAGGGAAGGCAAAGAGGGATGTGTGTCATTTCTAGAAAGTTGCCTCCCCGCCCCCGTTTTCTCCTACTTAAATATAGAAGGAGGGAAAGATGACATATGGGGGATAATTTTAAATTATCTCTAATTTCTCTTTTAAAATAAAAAAATTATGTGTGTGCTGGTATCCACGTCTGTGTACTACACATGTACCTGGTGCCCTAGGAGGTCGGAAGATACTGGATCACCTGAACTGGAATCACAGATGGCTGTGAGCCACCATGTAGGTGTTGGAAAACAAGCGTGTCCTCTGGAGGAGCAGCCAGCTCTCTGAACGGCTGATCTGTCTCTCCAGCCTCTGGCTCTAATTTCTAAAGACAGCCTTGTGTGCACAGGTGCACTCTGCCTTGCTCACGTTGGTCTCAGCCATGTTTCCTCCCACTAAGATGGAAGCCTCCACTCCCACTCTGCTCTGGGTTGATGGATCTTTAATAGATCTGGCTAATTTTGCTTACAGACTCCTCTAGATAGAATCACTCAGTTTACTTAATTATAGAACAACTTTATTTGCTACTGCTTAGAACAGCTACCAGACAGAGAGCATTTGTTTCCTCTTCCCCATCAATCTGTGTTACGGTTTTCACTATAGTAATACTCCTGACCTTTCTTTCCTTCTCACTTACTGCTTGAGATAAATGTCTTACTTGCCTGGGGAAGGGAAGCAAGGTAGACAGGCCTGTCTCAGCCCTTCTGGATCCTCTGACTATGGGCAGCCCCTCTCCACCCCAAGGGATCATCGCAAAGTCCCGTTAGTGGATCAGTAGGCCATTCTCTTTAATTCCGTGCTGTATCAGGAAACACTTGTCCCATTGCATGACTGTCCCTTGCATGACGGTCAGCAAAAACGGTGACATTTTGATCTCCATGTCTCGGATTCCTTTGACTCTCTTGGTTTGTGTGTGGAGACGGAAGGCGCCACTACGTTATAGTGGATAACGGAAAAGCTGCAACCCCAAACAATAGGCTATAAACTAAGATGCTTACTTACCACAGTGTTAAGGAGAGCAATCTTAGAAATGTCGTGGCTAATTTGGGGCTAACCTAAAGTCTCTTTAATTATTTATTAAGTCATTTAAACTATGGATGCGAACACTACATGTTTGTCTTTTGCCTGTCTGCACTTCCTCCTCCAGACATGCTGGAGGAAGGGATGAGCATCTTTTAGCATGATGACCTTCAGGAGCAACCATCGTGTTATTAACTCAGCCAATGCAGCAATTCTTATCATTTTGATCTCTCACACCGAGAGCATTAAGACTTTCATCTCTCCCTGCTTCTCCTGTCCCCTTCTCTGGGTCTTAGATGAAGTCTGGTGTCTGCTAGCAGAATACACAGCATACTGACCAGACTAATGACAGGCACACCCGAGGCTCCCAGTCCCCAAGCTGTTTAAAACTCTTTGTCTTTGAGTTCAAAGTGTAGGATTGCTTTTCCCCCAGACGCTCACTTCATGCTCCATGATGCTATTCCTATTTGGGGCACAAATTGCATGCTACCTCCCTTCTGTGATGGAAGTACTGCTCAAGGTATAGGATCTTATAATGACACAAGGTCACCGTAAGACAACGAGAGGTAATTTGACAATGATGTCATCGTGGTAGAAGTGACATTAACTTAAAACAGAAAACTCTCTCTGCCAGGCATGGGTGTCCTCTGGTAACCCTGTGTGAATGAGACAGATGTTTGAATGACTAGGGAGTCTTCCTTCAAAAGAAGCAAACTCTGCTGGAATGAGAGCTGTAAGGGCAGTGGGGAGGCTGAAGAGAAAGGAGAGCATGAGGTAGTGCAAGTGGGCAGAATGGAAGAGGTGACATGGGTGTTCAGATCGCGGGACTCTGGGGTCTCAGACATGGAGAGAGGCAGGATTGCTGTAAATGCCTTTGCCGACACCCGGCAGACGGAAGCATGCGTTCCTCCTGACTTTGGCAAAGAAGAGATGGAGAAGAACAGAAAAAGGCAGAATTGGGCAGTTCCCTGAGTGCTGTGGAGATCAGTTTTGTTCTTTCCTGTGTTGTTTCCACAACTGAGAGGGAACAAACACACTCTGCCTTCCTGATTGCCTGACACCTGACTGAGGTCAGTTCCTTTCTCCACCTGGACTGGCTCCCCTAACCTCACCAGACCTGGGAACCGCCTATATCCTGCTTTGGCTAATCCGAACGCTGGGTCAGTGTTCTTAGGTGACCCGGGAGTGCATGGGAGAAATGAGATTAGCTTTGTGCAGAGTAAGAACATAATAAAGGAAATAACTTTGACACTGGGCACAAGGCTTCCTGTTTCTGATGAGTTCCTGGTGAGTCTGATATTTCATAGAGAACACTAAAAGGTATTGGGATTAAAAACTACGAGAAAATATTTTACCTTTTTTGAGTTCTGAGTAAAACATTAACTAAAAAGTAATTAAAACTTCCTAAGTCAACAGGTTTATTATGAGTGGATGTAAAATGTAACGTAAAATAGATCTTTTTTTTTCTATATTAATAGTGTCCTAGCTAAGCCAGGTAGTGATTGCACATGCCTTTAATCAGTACTCAGGAGACAGAGACTGGCAGATCTCTGTGAATTTGAGACCAGCCTGGTCTACACAACGAGTTCCAGGACAACCAGGGCTACAGAGAAACCTTGTCTGCCACCGCCCCCCCCACCAAGTGTTTTAGTTAAGCATGTAGATCAATACAAAAGTTACCTGAGCTCACATGCTTTAGAAGTCTGATGCCAGGGAATAAACTGAGGCCTGCCAGGCACCCAAGCTGGAGCTTCCAACCACTGTACTACACTGTTTTCCATCAGTCGGCCCCAAAGGGAGGAAGCAGGAGGGAGAGAATGAACCCCAACGTGGAGACAGATCACAGGAGGAAA